GCACTCTCCACATTTTCCCCTTGATCCCATACTTGGACAATTGTTTCCACAGCCCATTTCTCCGTACGGTATCGCACGCCTTTTTTCACGTCCAGGTAGAAGCAGTACGTCGGCTTTCCCACCCTCTTTCTACCTTGGATGATTCTCNATCAAAACTGTCAATTTGATGCGTATCGAGGTGCCGGTTTGCGAGTATTGGGTGCAGCTTCCCTGCTCGTGCTTGCCCTTTGCCGCCACCTTGGACATGTGTGCATTCCAAGAGCAGTCTATTGCGATCTCCACTCCGAGGTATGTGTATTGATCCACTACTGCAATCTCCTCGATCCCCCAATCCATCTATGGTCTACTAGTTCCTCCCTGTCCTCGTTGCATACCATGACGGCACTCTCCTTAACGTTGGCAGACAATCTCCACTTATCAGTAAACTTCTTCGCCGCGTCAATTTGCAGTTGCAGTCTCTCAGGGATGTCCGACATACCAACAAAATCATCCGCAAACAGCATTCCTGACACCGAAGCCTCCGTGTCTCCTACTTTTACTCCCTTCCGGACTGCCTCTACGACTTTCAACAGATCGTCGATGAACACCTGGAACAATATTGGGGACAACGTGCAACCTCTACGACTTTCAACAAATCGTTGATGAACACCTGGAACAATGTTGGGGACAGCGTGCAACCTTGTGGGACCCCCTGCTCAATGTCGAANGTATCGCACGCCTTTTTTCACGTCCAGGTAGAAGCAGTACGTCGGCTTTCCCACCCTCTTTCTACCTTGGATGATTCTCCCTACCGTGAATGCATGACGCACCCCCTCTGGCCCTAACTAACGCTATGTTCCTTCTCCAATACTCCCACTTTCCTATCGTTAAGTAGCTTACATAACACTTTTCCTACCGTGTTCAACAATGTCATCCCCCTGTTGTTTCCTGGGTCAGTCTTGTCAACCACTCCTTCCCTTCATCTACTTGGCGCAAAGACTACTCATTTTTCCACACCCAGTTGCACAGCAGTACCATCAGCCGGATCATCCCCTTCCCCCCAAACTTCATGAACTCGTTGACAATCCCATCCGCCCCTGCTGCTGTGTGGCACTGCAGCATGTTCACACACGCCTCAACCTCGTCCTCAGTGAACTCCTTTTCTAGTTCTACGTTCCNTGAACTCGTTGACAATCCCATCCGCCCCTGCTGCTGTGTGGCACTGCAGCATGTTCACACACGCCTCAACCTCGTCCTCAGTGAACTCCGTTTCTAGTTCTACGTTCCCGACGTCT